CGGGGGGGGCTGGCCGCCGCCTCCCTCTCCCTGCCGCAGCGGCAGGCGAACGACATCGAGGGGCAGTTCACACCGACGTGGGGGCCCGCCAAGGCCGAGCGCGACTTCGTGCGGCGGCACTTCCCCACCAGTGACTCGGAGCGCTTCTCCGCCCCGCGGCTGCCCACCGAGGGCGCCTACGCCGCCCTCATCGCCGTGGCGACGAGCGGGTCCTCGGTCCTGGACCCGGCGGCGTGGGCAGAGGTGCTGCGGCTGAACGCCACCGTGCACGACGCCGAGTACGAGCGGCTTTGCGCCCGCACCGCAGGCGGCTGCGCCAGCCCCAACCCGCTGCTGTCGCTGCGGGGCGATGCGGGACCGCCCGCCCCGGGGAGCCTCCGCTTCCCCGTCAACGACAGCGTCTTCCTGGGGACCGCGCTGGGCGGCGTGGAGACGGAGGGCGGGCGGGTGCGCGGGGCGCGGGCCCTGAAGCTGGTGTATTACCTGCGGGAGGACGGCCCCGAGGCGCAGGACAGCCGGCAGTGGCTGGAGAGCTTCCTCCGGGACATCTCGTCCAAAGTGGCGGAGCTGCGCCTCGGCTCCATTCAGGTAACGCAGGAGTGGGTACGGCCGTGCGGAGCCGCCGAGAGAGAAATGTCCGGGCAGCTCCTTCGCGGAAAGAGAGAGGAAAAGGGAAAAGGAAAGGGAAAGAGACGGTGGCAGAGGACGGCGGGCTGGCTGCGAGGGCCAGGGCAGTGCTCCTCTGCCAGCTTGGTGTTTGGCCTTGCTTGTGTGTGTGCAAAAAGACCAAGAAGAAGAGTAAAAGTGTTTCATCGTTTCTTTCCTTGGTCTTTTAACGGCAGGTGACTTACTTTACCTCGCTGTCCAGACAACAGGAGTTTGAAGGAAATGCCAAGAGTGTGATTCCGCTCTTCTCCATAACATATTTCTTAACAATAAACTTTGCAATCATCTCTTGCCTAAGGTAAAATGTCTCTAATCTATGGCTCAACAAGCAGTGATCTTTGCTCTTCTTTACCTCCCTCAGTTGGTTTCTGCTCTTGCTAAGTGAAGGCATTCTTGAAGCTGCAGAATTTCTGTGACATTTTAGAGGCAAAATTTATTTCTTTGATTTTTATTGTCTCTCTATGTGTATTTCCCAGCTGCTTAGATGGCAGACGAAAACTTGAACAAGTTTTCAGTACTTAGTTAAGGATCAAGTGGATGAGCAGTAGCTTCATAGATTCCTACAAGTCTAGGTACAGCCTTAGTTCTTTTGCTTGCTAGTAGAATCAGGGCTTTACATGCTGTCCACAGAGAACTTAACCTGCCCTTTCTTTGTCCTGATGGAAGGTGAACCACAGCAGTGTCTGTGTCCTGTACTTCCAAAGAAAATTGTACTTGCAGGGTGAGCAGCCTAGTTTAGTGCTTGCATCAAGCATCATACCTGTTAGAGCATTTATTGTGGAATGCTTGAGCCAGCCCTCAAAGGCTGGTAGCCAACCTGCCTGATGAGAAAGTTTCTCTACACGGCACGTACTGCCTGAAGGGTGCTTCCACTCATATGCCATGGCAGGGACTCGGGTAAAATCAAAGACATTCTAGAAATTCACCTTTTTTTGGGTCACCCAGAGTCTAGCCTCACAGGTAGAGTTTATGTATCCTTATGTTGCCATCATCTCTTGTTATTGATGCAAAGATCAGTACACATCTTTACTCTTCCGAACAGTGTAATTGTTTGGAATTAACAATGTATTTGTAATATTGGACAGTGGTAATAATGTGTATAATGCCTCCTATCTTTACGATTTGGGACAGCAATATAATGATATGAGACTCCAAGCCTTCATTAGAGGGCATGACAGTGAAGGTTTATTAGAAACATATTCTTTTTATACACCACTTTGGTACAATGAATATGATTGGTCATTTAGAACAACACCTCTTGACCATTGTTTCCAAGTAAATAACAAGTTAGAAAGACACCACCTGCTAACAGTTTTTCACCTTCCAAGGATTGTTTGGATTCCTCCTTATGATTTCCCAGGCCAGAGTGAGAAAGTTGTGTATTTGACTTTCCCACAGGCTCAAGCTAGTGCCTGAAGTCTGAAAATCTCTTATTTGACCACTGTCAGTTCCCACAACCTCCTGGAGAAATTAATTTTGTGTAATGCTGACACCTTGGAACTCTCCTAGCAGCTTTCATCAGGAGTTATTCTGAGAGAGGGTATCACTGGTATCTGTGTACTTGTCATGCTAAACACTTGGTGAAATATAACTAAAATATTCCTTGAAATATTTTCAGACTGAGCTGTATAAGAAATAATATCTGGCTTGCAAGCTGTGGAGTGCTTTCTTCTGGCTTAGCTGTATTAAGCAGCTTTGGATTGATGCTCCTCTGTGGAGTGCCGTTTGTGGTCACTGTAGCAAATGCACCGTTCCTGATTCTGGGTAAGTAGAAAATGTGAGTTGTATTCAGATACAAAGACCAGAGTGAAGTTAAAACAATGTCAGTCTTTTATGATGTGAATGTCAGATAATACAACATTTTCTCCTGAAGTGAGGGAGGAGATACCGAGGTGCAGCCCCCTCAGAGCACCTACAGGTGGGCAAGCCCCTCAGCTCAGCTCACAGTGGGACTGGAGATGGGCTCTACTGCAAGGGCAGCTTTTTCCAGAGGAGAAGCCTGATCTAAATCTACTGCTACAGCAGGAAGACTGTAAATGAGAGAGTGGTAAGGGTAGTACTTCTGGCATTCTAGTGTTCCTGGAAATGTAGCCAGGATGATTAATCCTCTGCTATATAACATCTGTGTACTAACCAGTCTCATTCAGCTGTGCAACGGAAGTGATGCACCATTTGTGAAAGCAGCTCCCCCCAAATACCAAAGGAAGTTGGTATCTTTGCCTCCTTGTTTCACAGACTACTTAACAGCCAGTGCTGAACTTTCCAAATACTGTTAGAGAATGTTGCTGCAAACAAGTCATTGCTTTTTAAATCCTTTCTGGTCTCCTATATGATACATTAATCTGATGTTTTCTTGGGCTTGGTCTCATGCTGAGGAAAACAAATGGAGCTCCCAGGTTGACAGAGGCTGTGCATCATCCTAAACTGTCCAATACAAATGCTCCTTAGGGCAGGCATTGTTTCTTTGTTTCCTGCATAATTCCAATGAATTTTTAATTTACTTTTGTTTGCTCATCAATTGCAGTGGCTCCGACTATCAAAAAGCCCCTTTTGTATGGGAAAGGGCTTAAGCCCAGTCTCTTCAGATCTTCAGAAATAACATACAGAATTTTCCTTGAGTTAAAGCAAATAAATTCTCAGTACATCAGAGGGTTTTTTTGAAGGCTGCTTGCTTTTTGAAGCAGCCAGGCTCAGTGCCATCCAATAGTGTCTTTGGACATGCTGCTTAATTAATCTTTGCATGTTTACTGGCAATTGCCTGTTCAGGTAGCAGGTAATGATTTAATCTCTTCTGTGCTTGGCTAAATCTCACTCCGCTATTCACACAGTCTTGCTTTCCCTTTTGTGTGAGTAATTTTTAGTGAACACAAGAGCTCTTAACAACATGGCAAAATACTGAAAGGTGTGAGATAATAATCTTGGGAGTTAGCAGAGGTGAGAGAAGCCCATTGGCTCTCCGTTTTTGAACATCAGCTCACTTACTGTAGCATCTTAGCAAAAAGATCCAGGAAGATCCAGTCTTCCCAGCAGGTTTTCCCAGGGACCTGGCAGGTAATATTTGTGAGTGAATTAGTATAAATGTGAGCAAAAATGGATAATAAATTGTGAATAAGTGCTGGAAGATAAACTGGAGAGAAGTGGAGGGCAAAGAGCATTAAAAAAGTAAGCCACTGGAATCATTCTTCCCATGTGGTAGCAACTGCTCTTCCTCCTTTCTGAAGGCAGAACAAGAAATTACTGGTCAAAGTTGCTGCAGTGCTGAAGAAGAGATTCCTGAGATAATGGGGGATGCTTCTAGTGATAAGAATAGTTGAGCATCAGAATATGTGATGCTTTGAAATCTGTGTCATCTGCATCAGGGGACATGTGGACATCAGCTACCAGACACTTGTCAGAGATGCAGTAGCTGTGCTCAGTCCTTCAGCAGTCAGTGAGGGAACAACAAACCACCAGGTCACCAGGAATGTGCTGAAAGACAATACATTCAGCTACACACAAAGGATCTGTTTTCCTCATTCTCTTGTAACTTGCATCAGCACTAGAGCATTGCTAGTAGTAAAGCTTCCTTTTTCAAAATTTTATGCAGAATGAAATGTGATTGATGTTGTTTTGTTGGGTGTTGGAAGCTGCCATTTGCAGTGCAGCATTAACAGTGTCTCCTCTTGCAGGGGTTGGCGTTGATGACATGTTCATCATGATTGCTTCCTGGGAACAAAGTTCAAGGAAAAAAGAGAAATCCAATGTTAAATCTCTGCTGACTGAGACTTACGCAGAGGCAGCACTTTCTGTGACCATCACCACTCTCACGGATGTTTTGGCCTTCTTCATTGGCACCTGGACTGCTTTTCCATCCGTGAGGTCTTTTTGCCTCTATACGGGTACAGCTTTTGTCTTCTGCTATGTATATACCATGACCTTCTTTGGGGCAATTCTGGTGTTAAATCACAAAAGGGAGCAAGGGAACCGACACTGGCTGACTTGTATGCGTGTGGATGTAGGTAAAGATCAGGCTGAGAACTCCTGCTTGTACAATGCTTGCTGTATCGGCAGCTGTTCTAGGCAGCCATCTCAGCCAGAAGGGGAGCATCCAATGAGTGTATTCTTTAAAAAGTATTATGGCCCTTTTGTTACAAATAAATGGATCAAGCTGCTCATCGTGTTGCTGTACGGAGCATATTTGGGTGGCAGCGTTTATGGGTGTACTCAGATCAGGGAAGGCATCGATCTCCGAAATCTGGCAAATGATGACTCCTACATTATTCCATATTATGATGATAATGATAAATACTTCTCGGCATATGGACCCAGGGTCATGGTTGTCATTACTGAGGGTGTAGATTACTGGAATGAGTCGGTGCGTCTTGGCATTGAGAGCTGTGCACAGAACTTAGAGAACATTTCCTATGTAGATAAAAACCACTCAGAGTCATGGCTGCGGGCATACACAGAACTTGCCAAAAAAACCAAATTGATAAATATAAACAGTAAGACTGACTTCTTAAATAACTTAACTATACTGTTCAGAATTCTTCCCAGTTTTGAGTGGGACATAGACAAGACTCAGGATGAAATAGAAGCTTCACGTTTCTTCATCCAGACAGTGAATGTGACATCAGCCGTGGATGAGAAGAATCTCCTCAATCAGTTAAGAGAGGTAGCCAAGCAGTGCAGCATTCCACTGAAGGTGTATCACCCAGCCTTCATCTACTATGACCAGTACCTGGTAATAGTGCAGAACACTGTTCAGAACGTTGTTGTTGCTGCCGGGGCGATGCTCGTTGTCTCCCTTCTGCTCATTCCCAACCCGCTGTGCTGCTTGTGGGTGACTTTTGCTATAGTCTCTGTTATAGTTGGTGTTGCTGGTTTCATGACGTTCTGGGATGTCAATCTTGATTCCATATCCATGATCAACCTGGTCATTTGTATTGGTTTTTCAGTAGACTTTTCTGCTCATATTTCTTATGCCTTTGTTACAAGTGGAGAGTCATCAGCCAATAAAAGGGCAATTGAAGCTCTGTCCCTGCTAGGTTACCCGGTACTACAAGGTGCAGTTTCTACAATATTAGGAGTAGTTGTCCTGGCTGCAGCAAACACCTACATCTTCAGGACATTCTTCAAGATCATGTTCCTTGTTATTTTGTTTGGGGCTCTTCATGGTCTTGTTTTTATTCCAGTGTTTTTAACACTTTTTGGAAACTTTGGCAGATCTCCCAGTATCAAAACTAAAAAACTTGAGCTTGAGAAATTATAATAGTTGTTTGTGACTAAGTTTAATGTGTTATAATTTATATTTATTATATGTAGATTCAATTGTAATGACTGTCAGGGAATATAAGACATGAAGAAAATGAAAGACAAAAATAATAAACACAACAGGGAAGGAAAAGCTTCAGAAAAGCCAGGCAAGAAAAATAACAGAAAAATTAAAACTTAGAGATTGCATTTGCATTTCTCATTTTTGTGTCATCTTAATGTTGTTAAATATTTTTTTATGTTTACTGAATGTATTAAAGTTATTAAAAGTACTGACCAATGCATCAGCTTAACAGACTACATTACATGTTTGTCAGGACACGTTCACAATGGGGAAGAGTAGCTTCCACCATACTGCATTTTCACCTGTTTGCCTTGGTGCTGTAACTCATCCCAACACTGAGCTGGAAGACAATTTTTGCCCAAGAGGCTCAAGGCTGGATGTTTTACAGCAAAATTACAAGAGGTCAGAACTGTCTCAGACTGTGATATCTCGTAAGCCTTCAGGAGACAACATGGTCCTAGGTCCCTAATGCAGCATGAGAAACCCTTGGGGAAGACTCACCCCAAGCTGACTCCCATTTTCTATTCAAAGCCTTTTCTTGGTGTCCTGTTTTCTAGCTAAGGTTGAACATCTGGTACCCTTTAAGAAGTTTACATGTGGCTTCTGTTGGCTGCACTCCCTGCAAAGGGATGTGCTGTAGGTTATTGAACTTGCATGGACCTCCTGAGTAACCACCCTGGGAGATGCTGTGCCATGGTATGACAGGGCAAGATTTTACTAGAGAAAATCACAGCCTGATATGGGACAAAGTGAAAAAGCAACTCAAGTTTAAGCAGATCAGTCCTGTAAACCCATAAATTCCATTCTGTTCATCCTGTGATGTGTTGATAGAGCAGAGGAGCTTTCACTGAGTAAGAGCTAAGAATATATGACGTGCCTTCTAACTTATAGGGACAACACAGTAGGTAGAAGTAAATTCATAATTTGTTGCTGATATCATGAATGACCCATTGGAAATAAAGTGAATTATGGTAACTGATGTAATTATGGAAAAATTGGTGAAGGACTTATTAAACCATTCAGGCCAAATCTGCTACTGTGGAGGGCTTCTTCTGACTGAGCAAGTGTGACAGTCTGCCTCTGTTTCCTGTGACTTCTGGCCCATTTCATGAGACCCAGTAAACAGGGCAAGATCCTTCCTCCAGAACAGTTTCTGAAAGAGTAGTGAAAGACTGAAAACTCATATCAATCTTAGAACAAATCTGCTCCTCAGCTTGTAGCCAAAATCCCATGCTGAATCAGAATTACAGCTAGCAGCATTAAGTTTCCAGGACAGGGCACTAGCCACAAAGCTAGATTTGGGGAAAAACAAATGCACTAGACTGCACAACCCCATGCACTAGTCCCCACTTCTCCCACTAAACGTCTCAGTGTTCATAGTAGTGCTCTAATGGCTAATGATGCAGCCATTTTTGCACTGATGATGCTGTGGAAGGAGCAGACAATGCTCTCACACTGGCCAATGGCAGAGAAAGGCCTCTTAATAAACACGTGAGTCATGGGATTGGAAAAATGGAAATCTGAAGAAAGCAGAGTGAGCAGCCTATTTGAAGCACATACTCTCACCTCTCATTGTGGTGTTTGGCCATGTTTTAGAAGCAAAAATAGCTCTCCTTGCTTCTAGCCAAAGTTTCCAATCAATAGAGCAGAAAGCTAGGAATGGCTTGATTTTTCTAACTTCACAGCCAGTTTAAAGGATTAAGATTTAGAAAACTCTACTGACATTTCAGCTGACTGAGGTCATCACAGAGTAGGAAGGAGCCAGAAGGAGCAGGCCATGACTTTCACTGGAAGTTTGCATTTGCTTTGTATTAAGCTTGCTAGTAGAATTCTGGCATGCCAGCCTCAGGAATACAAAAAATTCAGAATTATGTCCAAGTCTGAATTTCTTATTTTTATGTGCCATCCTGCTTGTGACTAGAGGTATTTAAAATGCAAACAGTCTATCTAAGTACTTAGCTCTGCCCCATTTTCAACAGCAGGTGGCTGTTAGTATTTAAAGGGAACTGAGGTTATTCTTCTCACCCTTTTGACTGATTTCTGGAAGCTGCTTTTGTGGTTGTGATGCATTGACCCTGGCTGGCCACCAGGAGCCCACCAAAGCCACTCCCCTCCTTAGCTGGACAGGAAAATCATGGCTAAAGGCCTGTGGGTTGAGATGAAGGCAGGGAGAGATCACTCACCACTTAACATCATGGGCAAAACAGTTTTGAGTGGGTAAAATGAGTTTTATGCCAACCAAATCAGAAATAAAACCAAATCTTACTACCACCTCTTCCGCTACCCCTTTTCTTTGTTTTCAACTTCACTTCCACTTTTCTTTACCTCCTCCCCCTCAAGTGGTAAGAGCAGGGTGGGGGTGGGACAGGAATTGGGGTTGTGGTCAGTTCATCACAGGTTGTCTCTGCCACTCCTTCCTCCCGCTCTAACCCTGCTACATCTCCTTCACTGACCTTGGTGTCTGCAGAACTGTTTCTCCCACATACTCACTCCTCTGGCTGCAGCTGCTCTTAGGGCAGAGCTTCTTCCCCTTCATTACATGTGTTGTCTCAGAGGCTTTACCACTGGGGCTGATTGGCTCAGCCTTGGACAGGAGCAGGTTCTCCTAGAGGCGTCTGTCTCTATTAGATATAGAGAAGCTTCTGGCATCTTCTCCCAGTTGCCACCCATGTAGCCTCCTCACTACAAAAACCCTGCCACACAAGCCCAATCCAGTGCTCTTCTATCTCTGCCCAATAATTTTGAAAGGAGACCTTTCAGCTCCTAGGTGCTCCCAAGAGCATCAGTGATCAAATCCAATGCCTCAACAAGCAAGTTTCTTGGAAACCTCACGTTACACACACAAAACCAACTAGGAGTGACAATAAACTCTTCAGTAACACTTGTGTTACTAAATTGACCAGAAAGCAAAGACAGCCTTTACAACTTTATGGCTAATCTTGTAATAATCTTTCATGACTCAATGATACATCACTATTTTTTTTTCCGTTTTGACACTATCCTATGCATGTAGCAAGAAGTTTCTGAATAAGTAGAGTAGCTGGAATTCAAGGACTTACCCCCCCAAACAAGATAATTCAATACAGATTTTAGTAACTTCAAACAAGAAAATGGTTTTTTGCTTCTCTTTCTAAATGCAAATTCACACTATTTAGCTGGAAAAGATTACTTTCATATCCCACTACTGAAGCAGCAATTGAAAAAATGTGTGAATTTCTAGGGAGAACATTCCCTAGAAATCTTACTTAGAGAGAGTGCAATTTTGCCATAATTCTTGAATTTATTTACAATTTTAAATGTTTTATACATCTCAATTTACATTCTAGGGAACTTGGTATTACATTTTATATCACTTTACAGTGAGTAAGAAGAAAACCAATGTGCATAATTAAAATTAACCTTTATTACTCCAAAAACAGATGCCAAATATGCAGTATATTTCTGTTTCTGTTGGCATATTTCTGAAATACAAGTACAACTGTAACTAGTCAGCCTAGATATTTCCTATACTGTTTTATAACATTTGGAAGTTCTCCCACACTGAGTGGGATGCCACTATAGTAAGCTGACAAAAACAGGCAAGAAGTTGATCTTGTTTTGAAAGGGAAAAAAAAAATAAACCAAATGTGCTCCTACTAAAAAAAACTAGGTTATAATCAAGCATTACACTCAGAAAACTCTAAAGTACTGTTACTTTTAGTTTCAGGTATCCATTCACATTTATTGGCACCAGCCCAACTATTTTAATGTATGGTAACCCTCAACATTAACATGTTAATACATGCCTCTCTGCATCAGAAGCTTGTAATACCACAACGCTGTGAATGATTGTGCAGAAGAATTATGACCAAGATGTGTTATTCCTAAAAAACAGCTCAATGAGATCAGAGGAATACTAGCATATAATTGCTTGCCATCACTTCCACTTGATTGGAAACTGCTCTTGTTTTCAAAACCTTTTTTGTATTTTCTTAGAATTTCCTGAGATTTCTGTAAGGGTTGAAAGAAAAAGTTTTATTTCCCTACTTCTACCATAGAACAGAACTGGGAATGTTATTTGAAACAACACATGCTTCAAACATTTTCTGAATTACTCTTCACTGAGCAATGTTGTCCTCTTCAAAGAGATTACCTTTTAGATTATCAAACGCCCATACACAGTATTAACAGAAACTAGTTCTGCAGAATCTCCAGCAGTGTAAAAGCACTGTCATCAAAGCACTGTCGCCTGTCTACTGCAGTAATAAAAATTTTAAGAAACTTGTCAGCAGCACATCAGAGGTCACAGGTATTTCTCTTATCCCTGCTATGGCTCTGCCCAAAACATGGTCCAAAGAGGCTTAGAAACATTTAGCCTGTTGTTTTTGCAATAAAATTTCTCACCCAGCCATACATGCATGTATTTTAACCCCAAGAGTACTGGAAACATGACCACTAACATTTTTGTCTAGCATGATGCTCACACAATGTAGCTTGTTCATTCTTTGAGATGTTTTGTTTCATTTCTAAATAAGAAGTCTTTAATAGTGGTCTCTAACCTCAGAGTATGAGCAATAGCTACACAACATACTACTGCTTTACATCTCAGTCTGTCAAATATGTTCCAGTGCACATATTGTGGGGTATCACTTCAAATGTGATAGCAGCATGGCCCAGGAACCTGTGCCAACACACACCAGAGTATCCGCATGTTTTTCTTCTCAGCTTCAACACATTTGATTGAATCAAAATGCTGAATTCAACCCTGAGATTTAACCTTCTGAAAAACTTCTTGTGCGAAGAGTATAAGGAGCAGAGCATGAGGAACTTGCTTTATTTTGTGTCTTATTCTGGTGAGACACAACAAATAGATGAGTAACAGAAGCTCACAAGAGACAGATTAATATTAATGCCATACACACATCAGGAAGAGAAAAAGAGGCTATGCTGCATAAGACTACTGCATTGCTAGATGTACATTCTTCAAATTATCAGTTACATATCCCAGAAGTTATCATCTTACTTCTAGTTTTTTCCCCTCTAGAACAATTTGGATTTCTTTGGCATCCAGAGTCTCATATTTCAATAAAGCTTCTGCTAAATTCTTGTG